TATATATATATATGTGTGTGTGTGTGTATATATATATATATATATGTGTGTGTGTGTGTGTGTGTATATATATATGTTTGTGTGCATGTATATTCAAACAAAATAATAAAGAGAGACTTTTTATATATTATTTAACTTATATATTTAATATAAAATTCAAAAAATAATTCCTCTCAATAAATTTTATTGATTTATTTAGAGTGTAATTGTTTTTTTTTTTGTTTTTTGTTTTTGCCTGAATTCATGAGCTAGTTTCTGGTAAAAAATACACCTGTCAGGCACATTTTGATTTTGTTCTTTATCATTTCTTTTTTTGTGGCTTATTGTGGAGAATATTCCACATATGTGTTGTCGCATGGAGTCTAAAAGACAAACTTCTAAGTTAAACCTAAGATGGTAAAAGTTGTAAATTTTGGACCCTGGTCAATTTGTAGTTTGTGTGTTTTGTCCTGTAGAGGGCGCTGGATTTACACTGACGTCTCTGATCCTGCTTCATCAGTTGGAGGATAAGATGATAGCTCACCGCTGCCTCATGGACTTCCTGCTTCAGGTTCCTCAATAGCCACACAGTCTATGAGATACGCTTTCATTCTTCTCACAGTATTCAGCAGTGCTCTTTCTTTCTTTCTGTCCGCTCTACAGACAGGACTTCTAGATCGTCTCACTTCCACAACGGTGCGCATGTCCCCCATGGCCACGCGACTCTTGCTATGTGAACATGCGGAGAAGCTCTCGGCCGCCATCGTGCTGAAGAACCATCATGCCAAGCATCCAGAGCTGGTGAACACGGCCATCCTGTCAGCACTGAAGAAGAGCAACACTGACATACTGGCCAACCTCACGCCCGCGGACGTGTTCTTCAGAGAGGTGCCAGACTTCAGCACCCTGTTCATCAAACTGCAATGGAGAATATATATATTTCTCTCTGCTTTATCTCATGTTTGTGTCTCCAGGTGTCTCAGATCTCCTCCATCTTTGAGTGTCTGTTGGATGAGGAGGAAAAAGCTTTAAAAGAGCATTCGGATGCCACCAGGTGGGCCGAGGTGGTGCTCAACGTCAATGACATTGTCAAGGTGCACAGCAGTCTTTCTTACTTATTCATTAATTCCTGCATTCAGATATTCTTGAATCTGTGGGCCAGGTTGAATGTATCTAAGTACTTGTCATTTTTATCCCATAAAGAGAGAGATTTTTTGTAGAATACACAGTACTTGACAGATGTTTGGAAACATTATGATTTTTAAATGTTTCTGAAAGAAGTCTCTTCTGCTCACCAAGGCTGCATATATGTGCTCAAAATGCATTAAAATCAGTAATATTGTGGAAAAAGTATTACAGTTTAAAAGAACTGTTTTCTGTTTGAATATATTTTCAAATGTAATTTATTCCTGTGATCAAATCTGAATTTTCAGCATCATTACTCCAGTATTCAGTGTCACATGATCCTTCAGAAATCATTGTTTAAAAAAAAAGTGACAGTAGAGACATTTATAATGTTACAAGAGAGTTCTATTTTAAATAAATAAATATTTTAAATAAACAAATTAAATAAATCCTGATTTTTTTTTCCATGTTTTAAGCATCAGTTTTTTTAATGCTGATAATTTAATATTTAATATAAAATACATTTTTAAAATGTATTTAATAATTGTATAATTTGTAAAGCAAATTGTTAAAAGTTTTTCCTACAAAACTAAATATGAAAGAATATTTTGCACATCATTATTTTCCAGTTTGTGAAATGAATAATCATGTTGTTTTGTGTGGTAGGATATGCTTCAAGCAGCAGCGCAGTACCGTGAGACCAAAGCATCTCTGTACAGAGCGCCAGAGAACTGCGGCCCTGAGCCCGAGTACATCCCATGGACAGGTAAACACACCTGAAAGGACTTCCTCTTCTTTCATTGACTGCCACAGCACTATAAACACAAAAGCAGCTCTCCATCAGTGTGAGCGTCATAGTTTCTTCCTCTCAGCCTCAGGAGGAGCGGGTGGAGTTCGGACCGTCATCACACGGCAGCACGAGCTGATCCTGCGCGTGGCGTATCCTCACGCAGATGCGGAGCTGCGTGGCGTGCTGAGCGAGCAGCTGGTGGCGCTGTTGGACTCTCTGTTGAGCGGTTACGTGTCTCAGCTGACGTCTCTCCGCCGCACCGGACAACAGGAGCGCTACGTCATGCTGGAGAACGAGTACACGCAGAAACGCTCGGAGCTGCTTGCACCTCTCCGTGAGTTTTGATTGCTCATTTTACATGTCCGAATAAGCTGAGAAACGGACCAGATTATGTGCTTTATAGTTTTGTGTTGTCTGTGACTGTGGCAGTGGAGTTGGGTCAGCATCAGTGGGTTGCGGCACTGGCGGAGAAATACTGTGACTTTGACATATTGGTGCAGTTGTGCGAGCGAACGGATAACCAGAGTCGACTACAGCAGTACATGGTCAAATTCGCTGATCAGGTAAGAAACCCACCGGACCAAGAACTCTTAAATGTCAACACAAGCCACATACACTATCGCTCAAAAGTTTGGGTCCGTATAGTGTTTTTAAAGGAAATTAATACTTTTAGTCATGAAGGATGCATTAAACTGATCAAAAGTGACAGTAAAGACATTTTTAATCTTATAAAGATTTTTATTTCAAATGAATGCTGTTCTTTTGAACTTTCTATTCATCAAAGAATCCTGGAAAAATTTATCAGTTTCCACAAAAATATGAAGCAACACAACTGTTTTCAACACTGATAATAATCAGAAATGTTTCTTGAGCAGCAAATCAGCATATTAGAGTGATTTCTGAAGATCATGTGACACTGAAGACTGGAGCAATGATGCTGAAAATTCAGATTTGATAACAGGAATACATTACATTTTACAATATATTCGCATAGAAAACAGTTCTTTTAATATTTCACAATTTGTTATGTTTTTTATTCATATTACAAATAAATGCAGCCATGATGAGCATAAGAGGCTTCTTTCACAAACATTTTAAAAAATCTTCGCGATCCCAAACTTTTAACCGCTACTATATTATCAATAGATGCTTCTGGATAGTGTAGTTTGAAGTAGCTTTTGGTTAGTAGACAATATTTCAGTATTTATAGAAATGTTTTGTTAAATTAAAGAGCATTGCACATGGGCACTTTGAAATTCTTGGAATACAGCTCTAAGAAAAACATACTGAAATCACAGTTACAGTACCTGTGCCGAATGCATTTACTCACAGCCCTCTGTGTTTCCTGTAGAACTTCGCTGACTTCCTGTTCCGCTGGTACATGGAGAAAGGCAAGAGAGGGAAGCTGCTGTCTCAGCCAATAGCAACGCACCAGCAGCTGGCCAGTTTCCTGCAGGCTCACGATCACCTCAGCTGGCTACATGACATACATGTGCAAGACTATCAGAGAGTAAGAGAAAAAAAAAAGGAATAAAATAAATACATATTTAATTTGTATTTTTTTTATATATACGCTAAAGTGCACACCACGAGGTTACTGACACTTGTAGTGTTATAAATGCTTTGTTCTCTTCACGACAGGCCCATCGTACCCTGTACAGTCAGGCCAACATGGAGACACGATACTTCAGCAAGAAGAAGACCCTGCTGGCCCTCAGCAAACTCACGGCTCTGGCATCAGACATGCCTGAAGCCGTGCACCGCAGACAGCTCAACGGTCAGTCATGTGCCTTCATATGAGTTTGAAAGTCATGACGACTATTTGATTTGTCTTCAAATCTGTTTTAGTCCATATAAAATGGATTTCATATTTTTATTATTTTCTTACTTTTTCTCTATTTTCTCTTGTCATGTCCCACCAAGCATTTTTAGACCATTCATCATTGACAGAATAAGGAGCAAATGATGCATGCTTTATGTATTTTATCATTGTGTAGACACAGAGAAAAATGGGAGTTTATGCTCAACCTTTGGTGCTCATGCAAGCGCCATGGGTTCAAATCTGACCTGCATTTCCCTCTTTTCCTCCCCAAATAAACTCTTGAGCCCCTAAATATTTGATCAGTTTATGCCATATTACATTTTTTGAAACATAATTGCTGTTGTCCGGTGTGTGTTGGTGTAGATATAGTGGAGCAGGAGAGGTTTCTGCTTCATCAGGAGACTCTTCCTAAACAGCTGCTGGACGAGAAGCAGCTGAACCCAGACAGCATGCCTCTACTGAGCCCTCGTAACCTCATTAATGTGAGTAAACTACAAAAATACTGCGGTCACGTGCATTTGGCAGCAGTTTTTAATTCCTTCAGACTTCTTCATCCTCATTTCTCTTGCTTTGTCTCTCTTTTCCTTGTGTCCAGCTGTACATCTGCGATGAGAACCGTGGAGCCAACGAGTACGACTTCAAGAAAGCTCTCGATCTGCTGGAGTACTTGGAGGAGGTATCTATATAAATAAAAGGCTACGTTAAAAACATAAAAAAGCTACTTTTCCAAACACATGTGTTTCTAATATGTATTCATCGCCTGTAGGAGGATAGAGTTGATCTCGATGCCCTAAAACGTGAGATCTTCAGTAAAGCCTTAAAGAAAGACTGGAAGGAGAGGTGAGCATCACAAAACTCACTCAAATGAGATTAGTGTGGATGGATGTTTCATTTTACGTGACTATAATGGTCTTCCATTGACTGACTGGTTGCAGTTGGTCATCGTCTGATGATAATGACGATCCTCTAGAAGCAGCCAGAGACAGCACTTTCGTCAAGATCCTACAGAAACTCATCCAGGAAGGTGCAGTGACTCTCTTTTCTGCTAATCACACACTCACAGTTGTTCTAGAAGTTTGTCTTGAGGTTTCAAAGTAGTTTAGGGCTTATTTGAGACTTGATTTTAGCAGGTATGAAGTATACAATATAGTATCTTACATCCAAAGCTTGGACAACCCTACTTCAGGACATGTAGTTACAATGCAAAATCTGCATATTCAGCCAGAGTGTGTTTTGTGTTTGTGCACACAGGTGTTTCTCTGCAGTCGTACCTGCCTGACGTGAAGGATCTTCTGCAGGAAGATGAGCTGGAGAGTCTCAAATCAAAACCGTACTTTGAGTTCCTCCTGCGAGCCAATTATGAGCACTACCAGAAAGCTCAGATTTGACATTACTTACTGTTTCTGCTTACTGTTTCCTTGTTAATATTCCAACTTTTTTTTGTACTGTTTCAAAAAATATATATAATAATAATTACATGAACCAACGCTTGAATTTTCTGAATAAACTGTATTTCTGTAATTGATGACAGACAGTTCAGTGATGGTAATCTTCTGCTGCAAGACAAATAGTGTTAACCAAATGGTGACGTTAGCTTGGGTTTTATGGTGTTTTCTTAAAGATAATGAACCTAAATGTATTTGGATTCTTAGGCCACACTCTTAAGATGTCGGAACGTCATTGCATTAGATAACAAAACATCAATGTAATGCCAAAATTACTCTGCAAAGGTGGCACAGAAGTGCTTCTGAAGTGGCATAAATGCATTTATACAATAATTACAACTGTATGCTTTGATACTAGAGGTGGGTCAGAGCAGGCAAATATAAGTGGATTTTATGCAACATTACGTCTTTACATTGAATTTTGAGCAGCATTAAAAGATGCATTTAAGTGACCATTTTATGGACATGTCATGCACACTTTTAGAGCAAAACATTTCACAAAAAGATAAAACTACAGATACAACGTTCAGAATGACGCTCATTTGTGTTTGTCATTACACTAGTTTATCAAGTTTAAAATGCACGAATGGTTCAGAAAAGTTTTAGCTGCATTTGTTTGCAGAAGCCACTCGGTTAGATATCTAACGCAGTAGTACAGACACTACTGAGTGTCTAAACCCTTTGGGACCTCTGTATGTGCAAGGCTCTATTTGAGAACGTCTTTTTGTTTTCTTGCACTCCTTCCTCTCATCTGTCGCTCCCACTCCGTCCTCCAGCAGCTGGTGTGAAAAGAGCAGCTGAACTGATGGAGAAGCAACTGTCTCCCCTGAGCTCATAAAAATAGGGAAGAGGGTAAAATTAGTGGCGTCTGCAGTAAATAAGCTGCACTTTAGGGGGGTTCTCTGACACCCTATATGGGGTGGGAGCCTCTGGAATCCCTAAAGACTACATAAACTGTGGAACTCGAGGAGGAAATATGATACTCGCACCCTATATGGGGTGGGAGCCTCTGGAATCCCTAAAGACTACATAAACTGGAACTCGAGGAGGAAATATGATACTCACTTGTTTATGATGTGGCATTAGGCTTGGCATCAAATATCATTGAAATGCCCACAGGGTCGTGCTTGTCTAATAGTCAACTAATGACTTTCTAATTTAATAACCATCTCCAAGTAAAAGAAGGTAAAACATCGTTATAATATCCTGTTCCTGTTCTCAGAAAGGCAGAGAGGGTTGCTGAGTGGCTATTTTGATAATATTGGTCATTGGTGATACTTTTACCATGATTTCACAACACATCTTTACAATTATTATGTAATGGCAGCTGATGAACAAGCTTAAGAGAATACGTTTCCATCCTTCTTTTGATGGTGACAGTATATTTTAAGGGCTTAATATGGTGACTGCATTGTTCAGCTAAACATCAGACTCAGATAAGAGATTTTCCAATATGTTTTTCCAAGATTCTCCTCCCCTTTATCCAGTTTCGGGAATGCAACTTCTGCTTCTGTGGCTTTCTATGGGAAAGGAAGAAGCTGAAATGAATGCTGTTATCCCAGTGCCATAGACTGACTAAATCCCTAATTTATTTCAGAAATGCCATGTTTATAGGCTTTATATTGGTCAGTTCGTGCAAACGAAGCCACTATTTGCATGACTTTCAAAAAACAGCCCAATTTACCTGATTTCACCCTATGATACACTGCAAAAATTTACATTTAAAGTATATCTGAGATTAAAAGAATTAGATAAGAATCAATATCCCACCAAAGAAAAAGAAGCTATTTTCATTTACATTTATACAAAGCAACTTATATTAGACCTTGAATTTATTTTCATTTGATCAATGGTAAAATGTAATGATAAACCATCATAACCCACTGTCATGCCCTTATATTGAGATATAGTCAACAAACGGCCAGTGTTGGACTCTGTGTGCACTCACTCGTATGGTGGCCCTGGACTCGCCTTACACGGCGCTGCGCCCGCCCGCTGTGGTTCGGGGTCTGGAACGCCATATATGGAGCCAGGAGCGCGGCGCGGCGCAGACCCACCGACACCCAAATATGGACGAGGATCGGGAGGAATTCCATTCGAATGCACGGACATTCCTTAATGGTTGTCGGAAGAGCAGGAAAAGCAGAGGACGTGTGTATATAAGATGCAGCGCCTGCGGGTCATATAGCAGGAGCCGGCGGCACTTCAGTTTGACTTCACGACTCTGAGAGCAGCCACAGGTAGGCCTAAGCGCTATTTCACGAGGTCGGAAACTAGATTAAAAAGGACAGCGATTCGGAATCGGAAAATGTACAATGTGAATGCAAGGATTTGACGCTAATCATTATACAGCGGTTTCGCTTTTGACTTTTAAAAAATAATATCACAACTTTTTTTATTCACTTCATTGCACTCACTCATATCAGAAACTTTTCTCTGTGTATCTTAACTGTGAATTTAATTTAAAAACAGTGGTCTTTAACTATATAAATCATCGGAGTGCGTTTTTTGTTTAGCTATTTTTAACAATTTAGTATGTTTACATTTATTTGATCATATTGGTGCAAATGGAAATACAAATCGTATTTGACAATAAAAAATAACTGTTTCTCACATCTTTTCATTCAGATTCCACTCAGCTATTTAGTATGCTATAATTAAGAATCCTATTAATGCAGTTTCTCAATGTAAACTAAACATTTGTCTGTTTGTTTGTTTTGGATAATGCAGTCAGTTCTCAACAAACTTGGTTACCAGTTTGAGTGATAATGATTTTGTCGGGGTTGTAGTGCCCTCTTCAACTTCTCTATGGCTTTTTCTCATTGACTTTAATTGTAGAAACCATCAAGATGTGTGATGACGATGAGACTACAGCTTTGGTGTGCGACAATGGCTCTGGCTTGGTGAAGGCTGGTTTCGCCGGTGATGACGCCCCCAGGGCTGTCTTCCCTTCCATCGTCGGCCGCCCACGTCACCAGGTACATACAGAGATCCTGCCTGGATCTGTATTTGCCATCCCAAGGGACTGATTGTATGGGTTTTCTTTGGGCTATTCTGATCATGCTGTATCCCTTGCTCATAGGGTGTGATGGTCGGTATGGGTCAGAAAGACTCCTATGTTGGAGACGAGGCTCAGAGCAAGAGAGGTATCCTGACCCTGAAGTACCCAATCGAGCACGGCATCATCACCAACTGGGACGACATGGAGAAGATCTGGCACCACACCTTCTACAACGAGCTCCGCGTGGCCCCCGAGGAGCACCCAACCCTGCTCACCGAGGCCCCTCTGAACCCCAAGGCTAACCGTGAGAAGATGACCCAGATCATGTTTGAGACCTTCAACGTCCCCGCCATGTACGTGGCCATCCAAGCCGTCCTGTCCCTGTACGCTTCTGGCCGAACCACCGGTAAGACAACATGCTGTAACTGAAAGAGCAACAGTTATATAATTACACACAGGGCATTTGACACAGTTGTAATGCTTACTGTTAGCTCTGACTGATTTCTGGTTCCCGGCTGTTATTAGGTATTGTGCTGGACTCTGGCGATGGTGTGACCCACAATGTGCCCATCTATGAGGGTTACGCTCTTCCCCATGCCATCATGCGTCTGGACTTGGCTGGTCGCGATCTGACAGACTACCTGATGAAGATCCTGACCGAGCGCGGATACTCTTTCGTCACAACCGGTGTGTACCTTGTCACTTTTTACTGGGATATTTGTAGCATGTGTGAAACAGACCAAATAAACAACTCTCGATTTGTCGTCCACCACAGCCGAGCGTGAGATTGTCCGTGACATCAAGGAGAAGCTCTGCTACGTCGCCCTGGACTTTGAGAATGAGATGGCCACCGCCGCCTCCTCATCCTCCCTCGAGAAGAGCTACGAGCTTCCCGACGGTCAGGTCATCACCATCGGTAACGAGCGTTTCCGTTGCCCTGAGACCCTGTTCCAGCCTTCCTTCATTGGTATGTTTGAAAACATCTGAAATTATCAGTTGTTGTCTTACCTTCTAGTCCTCCAACCATTTATATGCTCTCATCAAAACAATTGCACAGGTATGGAGTCTGCTGGCATTCACGAGACCGCTTACAACAGCATTATGAAGTGCGACATTGACATCAGGAAGGACCTGTACGCCAACAACGTCCTTTCTGGTGGTACTACAATGTACCCTGGTATTGCTGACCGTATGCAGAAGGAGATCACAGCCCTGGCTCCCAGCACAATGAAGATCAAGGTAATAGGGCCTAGAGCTTTAAAACTCAAGCTTTTTGCCGAGTTGCTTTTTCCATGTTGACTTTAAAACTGCTGGTTTTTTGGATAATATTTGATCTCCTCTTCTTCTGTAGATCATTGCTCCCCCTGAGCGTAAGTACTCCGTCTGGATCGGCGGGTCCATCCTGGCTTCCCTGTCCACCTTCCAGCAGATGTGGATCACCAAGCAGGAATACGACGAGGCCGGCCCCAGCATCGTCCACCGCAAGTGCTTCTAAGCGCCCGGCTCACCATCCTATCATTGCTTCCTGCTCAGGAACCAAGCGACGGCGCATTGCTCCTGTGGACAGCTTTTCCACAGTCGTCATTTATGCGATGACGTAGGAGCATAAACTGAGAAAAGGACACTAACGTCAAGGGAGAGAAAAATACCAAGCACTCTCATTGCACACAAATGTATTTATTACTGACTTCCATGGCTTGGTATTTTGGCGAATGCTGTTTGAAATGGAAGGACCCCGCTCCCTTAGATTCCAGTGACTCTGATATACGTTCCAATGTACACCCGGTCCAGTTGATGACCAACACAAATCACACTTCAACAGACAAATAAAACTGAAAATCTATTTTTAAACATGGTACTCGTCAATGAATATGTCATTTCAGTATTCTTATAAGATACAGTACACTAGGATTCAGCCCACACTGAGACAGACTAAACATAATTTATCCAACCTCTAGGCGCGAAGTCTTGTTATGTCTGTAATCTGACAACTATAAAACATCTGGGCTGTTTAAGTGGGCTCTAATGGAGGATGAATGCGTATGGGACAATTAATGGATCACAGAAGCATTACAGTAGCACTGACAGCCTTACAGTTTATAAAGGAATCATAAACTTTATTAGCTTATACCCGATTAGATTGATTACTTATAAACTTCAAAGGAATAACAGTACTGATTTAATACTGTAAACTTCAAAGTAATAACAGTACTGATTTAATACTGAATAATTTTCTTCTTTATATGGTAACTTTTGTTAGCTGTAAAGAAAAATGTTTTTAAACCAAAGTACTATGGTATTACCAACAATGTATCATACCGCCATAAAATGTTTTGTTGTTGATAAGTACGAGCTAATTTCGACTCATTCATGTTAACGTTTAACCAACAGCACAGATATAAAAATCAATATGAGATTCAGTTGAAGGGCAGAAGATAGTACATCCAAAAATGTCCATACCCCATATTTTGTTTCATATTTACGTTCAAATATTTTCCTGACAAAGACCTTTTCTGCGCATGCGCTGAGAAAGTTTCATCACTAGTAATGTATGTGTATCACTAGGAATGTAGTATAATGACTGTCACCTGATGTTCTCCAGCCATTACAAAAATATTAGGAAAACGTCTAACGCCACAAATAATTAGCAACTTCTATCCACTGGAATAAAGTAGACGATTATAATCAAATCAGGATCAATTAAACGGTAGATTGGATTGTGCGTGCGTATTTGCGCATCAAGTCCTCGGGCAGTCCAAGTGATGGAGTGCGCATGCGCACTGTAAATCACCAAAGCCCTAATATCACCGAGGCTTGTTTTTCTAGTACGCAGCAGGCGCTCAACAATGATGGATGGATGCATTTGGAATTCATAAGGATGCAAGAATACAAATGTACGACTTCATCCAACGCTAAAGCACAAGGAACGGAAAAGAAAGGAGTGGGTGAGTTTAAAGCGCTTACATTTATCCGAGTCAATGTTTATCTACATACTCAGGTGAAGACAGACCTGTAAACATAGTGCGCTGCCACCCTAATCAGACTGTTTTCTGCATTAGCGACTAATATTTCAATGATTTTTTCCAGTTTCTTAATGACAATGACTATGATTGCACCTCTTTTTAATGTAGTGTGTTGTAATAGATTATTATTAAGCATGCATGAACATGCTCGGCAGCATCGTCGCGATTTATTAATAAACGTGTATTAAAAACGTCCCAAGAACGTAAGAAATGCTCTTTAGAGAGATCGGATGTAACATCGGCTTATGTATTATGTAAAGAATATAAATAAATAATGTGTGCACTGGGCTGTAACCTACTATAAGAACAGGAATAGCAATACACTCCTCCGTGCATAGTAACTGATTGCAATACTAAAATCATCGCAATGCACACTATGCACTACTAAGAACAGATGGTGAGTGAGTCGTGAAGTATGCGAACGTGCATGGACAAGACTGACACATTATTATGTTCACTCCGTAGGTGATTATTTCAGCAGGGCCAAATGTCTTCCAATAACAGCATCATGTCCAAGAAGATCCGGACGGAGTACATGAAGAAGTTCAGAGATCCCAAGTGGCAGACGTTCTCGAAATGTTACGAGGACTCTGTGAAATACAGACTGACGCGGAGGCTGATGGAGCAGACACACAGACCGTTATTTGGGGACGGATGGGACAGCGGGTCCGACTCGAGCGGAAGGTCCAGTCCCAAACTGCAAGACGGGAATGTCTCGAATGCCAAACACTACACATCCCCATCAGAGTCCAAGAACGAGAACGCAGAGGTTCCGAGCTCCTGGAAGCCACAGGTGAATGGAGAAGTTCACACAGATACGAGTGCAACCGTGGAAAGCTCACTTCGCTTGGGTAGGTTCATGTCTTGCCAGCTTCAGTGTGTTGGAATGACTGAAACCTGATTTATATTGTCATTTCTGAGTGAGCTATTCCTTTAAACAAACTACTCATTTTTCTTTTGTCGCAGAGAATGGTTATAAAGATGTGACTCCTAACAGACCATCAGAATCTAATCCAAAACGGCGACAGAGACAGCGGGCGCCCCGTTCAGAGCCGTGCTACCCTAATAAAGAGCTGGATAGTGATGAATCTCAGCTATCTGTATCAAGAAAACCATCCAGGGCCAAGAGCCAACCACCGGGCAACACCAAGGAGCGGACGTCCAACCGTGAGAACAGACGGTCTTTTATCCATTATGACTGGGCAGAAAGGCACATTGAGACCAGGGACAGAAGGACACCAAATATGAGAACGTCTATGTCCGCTGGAGAGGTGAGGCCTGATATTAACAGCAGCTTTCTGAATTGCATCTGATATGTGACCCTGGAGCACAAAAGCAGTCTTAAGTCGCTGGGGTATATTTGTAGCAATAGCCAAAAA